GCTCCTAGCTGCAGGACACAGCCTAGCTCTCTCCCTCCTGCAAAAATCAGATGCTGCTTTATTTTCTCTTTGCTGTGCTACATATGTAGGGGACCATCCTGTCTCTTACACAGAGTGCCAGTGATTTCTCAAAGAACATTTCACAGCAATGTGCTGTGGGGTTTGTTTCATAACTGCCTACAAGTCACGGCCGTAACACAAACACCTACATGGAGAAGGGTGGGCATGTCACACACAGGTCCTCCAACCTGTCACACATCCCTTTCTCTCTCCAGCCAAAGTCAGATCTATGGCTTCCAGCACACAGTGATGTTTGTCAGTACTGAACACTACGCTGCTGAGCAGCACAGAGCTCGGGTCCCTCCGGGCACATGGACAGAAATGGCTCGGGACCAGCAGACACAGGCTACTGAGGCAACCAGACAACAGCAGGAGCTTTGTACTGACTTACACACACAGCTCTATGGTCTTTCCCCCACTGCTCTCTATTCCTGTCTCTAGCACTCATAAATCTCTTCCCTTTGGTGATGAAGAGGCTAAAGAAAGGCACTTTCCTAAATGTGACACATTTTCTTTTGGCCAATTAAGGAATATATTTGCAATTTTAAGAGCAAATATTAAAAGTAAGAAAAGGAAAAAGTGAAGCCAATTTACTAACCACACACACTGACAAATCACCTTATCACAAGAGCCAGGATGACTCAGAAAACAAATCTAAATAGCTTCTGTGATTTAGCACTGACCGACACTCAATGTATTAAAATAAATTGCCCGTGATTTCTCGCAAGCTCCATGCTAATGCACTCCATCATATATCAGAGCAAAAGCAGCAGTGCATAACTATCTAGAGGCTTCAGTCAGTGGCAGATAACGTAATGAATGGTCTTCTCACCACACCAGGGAAAGGAAGTTAATCTGCATCTCCAGCCTTTCAGGGAATGTTCCAGGTTTGCAAAGCGTGAGTCAGCAGCTCTGCTGCTCCATAGGCTTTTTTCCTACCACACTACCAGCACCACAGACTCTCCTGGCTTTCCCAGCTCTGTCAGGCCAGGCTCAGGTTTCCATCAGGGATCAGCACCTTTTGATTAAACAGGGCAGGTGAATTAACTGCCTTTTATTCATCACCTTGAAAGCCACTGCAGACCTGTATAATCACGACATAATTTTATACAGCAAAGAGTTTCACAGGAAAAAAAGAGTTGATAAGTAAAGGAAAGGGAAATTAGTATTTTACTAAATGTATTCTTCTTGTTGTTCCTGCTACTATGCTAATACCCAAATCACCGTAGTTATCACAGCTAAGACAGAAACTACCTTTTTAAGTCTCATGAAGTTGGTGAATATAACCCTCCCGAAGAGTAAACTGGAATCTGACTTTGCACAGACCAAGAAAATAAGCAAGACGACAACATAAGCTTCCAAAATGAGTCTGGCAGCCTCCAGCCTTTCACACCAACTGAAAGGCTGCACCTAATCACTTCCTCCAATGGAAGCCATGTGAGTTGAGATGAGCTGATGATGATTTTCTTCCCCCACTGATTTCTGTGCTTTGATGGTTGTTTTCCTGACAGGTTACACAGGGTATCCTTCCTGAAATTACTAAACCAAACTTCTGCTATTGCAATCTACTATCCTAACTCTTAATATTTAAACATAGCCTGAGATCAAGAGTACATTTTCCTTCTAGAAATGGAGAACAAAGCTGAGGTGAGTCATCCCTTCCCTCAAATGGTGAAAGCACCAGCACAAGCTCACCACTCGCTGCTGACTCTGACCTTCCAAAGCAGGCAATGCACCCAGTGCTGACCAGCAACCAGAGCAACTCCAGCACGCACTGTGTCCTGTTCAGAGGACAGCAAAGGGCCACAGAGAAACTGGGATGCTCTGGTGCAAAGGTAATGGAAGATGCGGCAGGAGCAGAGAAGAGCAAAAGATGTAAACTCATATGAAACAGACTTTCTTCATCAGGACCACGATCCATTAGAGTTGAGATCCACATCAATGGATCTCAACTCTAACTCATATAAACAAGTTTTATGTGGATTATGTTCTCCCTAACTAATAATTTTTGAGTCAACAGGCCAACTTCAGCCTCTTTTGATGCAGAAGCAGACATAGCAAAGTTCCTATAAGTCGCACAAAAATAGATGTCCAAGAAGCTCAGACAGACCCCACAAGTGACTCCTAACTCAAAGGAAAGCTATGACCCTTATTTGCCACTGAAACCTTTGCCTAGGAGACAGCCTTTCTAATCAGTTTCATCTCCACTGAGAATTTATCATCAAGTACAATAAATTAACAGGAACGTCGTTCCATTGCTCAAAAAAAAAAAAAAAAAAAAAAAAAAGCTTGCTCTAAGTAACCATAGGAAAAAAAAACACAACATCAGTACTAGTGGTCTAAACCCAGCCCTGGTGAGAGAAGTGAGGATGTTCAGATCCTGCCTAAAACAGCCATCCAGCAGAACTCCTCCTTACCTCCATTGCACGTGCTGAGAAAACAGCCATCTACCAAGCACGGTTAAAAGCCAGACGAGAGCCTTGGGATGCGAGCAGACTGCAGGGCCAGGCTGGTTCCTGATGCCACTCCCCACAAGAAGCCCTGGGGACGAGCTCAGAGCTAATGACATGCGCTGCTTCTGAATGCCTTTGGCGCATTTGGTCACCGTGTCACTAAAGGAGGGTGCCATACATCACGTCATTGTGGGCACCTGCCCCAAAGCCCACAGACTGACTGACAACCCTCATCGCCACTGCAAGCTCTGCCTTCCCTTATCTTTCCCTATCAGCTAACGTTTTTCTTCTGATATTCCCAGCCACCTTACGCTGCACCTGTGGGCACAGAAATGTTAAACCTTGTTAATCCACATTTTCTAAACAAAATCAGTCCCTCCTAACTCTATTTCAAGAAAATAGTGTTGTCTGAAATTATTCCTATTTTTTTGCCAGCATAGCATCTTTTTCTTCTTGGCAGCAAGAAGGATTAATTGGTAACGTGCATCTCACAAGCTCAGATCAAGGGAAGAGGTTAAAATGACTGATAAACCAGAGGTGTAAGAAACATATGTGTATCTCTTGTTCAAAAATCAGAGAAAAATCCCCACACCAACCCTGCTTTACACACACATAGCTGACACCCTCCCTTTGTTTTCAGGAGACCGCAGAGATCTGATAAGATACTGTGCACAGAAGATAAGAAGCATTTCCATAGGAAACAAACCATTCAAACAAGAGGATCTCATTGCCAACAATTTTGATTCATTATGCAGTAGCACTGTAAAGACTGAGCAGTTCTACTTGTCAGCTAACAAACCACCGCTTCTATTTGTCAGAGATCCTTCATTTTCCCTTCCCCCGTGCTGCAGCAAAACCTTGGATTTTGACATCAAGCCCAGCAAGCAGCGTTAGTCCTTGAGACACAGTTTGCAAAACATTAATGAAATCAGAATGAGACTGCAGCTTGGCTTGCTGCCCCTGGATAATGGAAGTGAAATTAAAAGTAGGGAGAAGAGAAGGGACCAGCTCTTAGCTAAAAACAGATCGCTGAATGCTTTTTTTTCTTGAGAATTCAAGTGTTTTGTATGCTATTTACTTCAGGTTTTTCTATTTCAATGAGTCAAGTGATAATCGATACCAGGAGGAAATAGCATTAAAAGCAACTAAAGAAAACTAACAAGAAAAGCACTCCTTTGAAGAATTTTATTTAGCCAAGAAAGCCTATTAGGCAGGAATACTTCCCCCAAAGACAGAAAGAATACAAGAGCCAAGAGAACAGAAAGATGTGTGGAAAAGAAAAGTGAGGAATGAAGTGGTATGTAAGATGACCAGGTGGGGAAATATCTTGAAGAATTCAGTAACGCTTTCCCCCAGAAGGAGCACTATCAGCCTCAGTAATTTACTGCAATGAAGTTGGTTATTCATAACATTTCAGAGATGCCTTGCTGCCAGCACTGGCCTGCATCCTTGCCTTGCTGGAGTTCTGGCTCGGGGTTCTTGCTTGTTTGGGACTCCTGCTGGGCATTTCACGAGACCAGGCTTTTGCACTGAGTTAATATTATTCCCACTTTTAGCCACGCTAGAAATGCAATCACCTTTCCTACAAACTGAAACACACGTATATTTTGCTTCCCGTCCTACAAACACACAAATTACCCTCAGGTCTAAATGCTGAGCTAAGATGTATGATGAGCTGTGACACCTGATAAGAACAATGCACGGTAACACCTCAAAGAGTTAAAGAAATCAAAGCCAAAAGGTATTAGGGGACGACAGAGCACAAACTTCTCTTGGGAACTAGCAACGGCACTGTCAGAAAAATCCCGGTCCATCTGCTTTATTTTGCCATATGTAAATGATTTCTGAAGGCTGGGAGCTCAAAAAGCCATCAGATAGAAGCTCTGCCAGTGCTGCTCCGCCCAGCCAGGCTGCTGAGACGCTGTACATAAAGCCCCAAATTGAGCAACACCAATTCCTTACAGCAGTGAATGGGTTAAAAGAAGTTTCCCTCCTCCGTGAAAGCGATACTGTGTGAAAACAGCACTATGCTTTCTGCTGCTGTGATAGATTGTACCTGCTCGGAGCAAGGCACTGAGTTTAACCCTGTTCTTGTGAGACTGCAAGCATTGCACGGATGCTGAAACCAATCTTAGACAGCCCCACGCCCAGTAGAAATGGAGATGGGTCTGTATCCCACCTAGAATGAAGCAAGGCAAGCGCTCAGCTTTCTGTCTCACCCTTCGGTAGCCGCAGCTGAAAGGGCTTGTTAAATAGCCAGAGCATATGCATACACATCAAAAATAACTTCAGAGTGCCTGCCTGAACAATTAAAAAAAAATCTATACAAAGCTGCAACACAGCACAGTTCAGTGAAATCAAGAACTGATTTTTGTTTAAAACAAGACAGAAAAAAGAAAAGCCACAGAAAACAAAGAGCAATCCACTCCCTGATTCACATTCAATCACACATCCTCAAAACCCCATTCAAATACAGAGGTGCCCTACCTTTCCGATCTGTGAACAAGCAGATTCCGATCAGTGGATCACGTCAAAGACAAGATGATGAAGAATCTGTTAAAATAAACCAAAGGTAGGGGGAAAAGAAACAAAACAGTTCATTTTTGATGAAAAACAGCTTCCAGCGATGAAACAAGTTCTTTTTTTCCATTATGCAAAAACCTGGATGCACACAGACATATCCGTACCAGTATCTGTGCATAAAGGCATGTGTGCTTAGAATAAAGATTACGTATGCACCGAGTAAATTCATCAGCAAAACTGCTGAAGTTTATTACCTACACATTTTAATTCATTCGGTGTGCAGCACTACAGAATTCAATCTACAGCAGGTTAAACCCAAAAAGCTACAGCATGAAGGTATAACTTGCAAATCCTCACACGGCAAACAAAGCTGACATTTTAAAAAGAAAATCATTACCGGCTCATATGCTGCCATACCACAAAAGCCTATCCTTAAATAACTGCTGCATAATCATTCTCCTGGAGTGTTGTTATCCATCGGCTCGCTGCCTATCTCCAGACAGACGCAGTCTGCAAGCCACCAGCTTGTATCTACCATGGGTACGTCAGGAAAACTGCAAATTAGAAGTCGTCCCCGCAGTGGTGAAAAGGAAAAGAGGGTGAGTGGGAGAGGAAGAGGGAGTTCACTGGCCACAGAAATTTCCAGAATGATGACAAACCCACCAGCTCCGCCATCATCCACTTACAATAGGATGCTGCACCTCGTGGCTGCCTAAGCAGTTCGTCAAGGGCTTTCTGGTATCAACTGCCTGACAGGCATTTTAATTGCATGCAACCGAGTGCATCCCCAGGAATCGGGCCTTTAAGCCTATGCATATCATCAGCCGGTCCCTTCTGTGCCGCTGCCAAACGCACACGGCACACAGGCAGCAGCGCACACGGTTTCCATTGCGATGCCGATCCAAATCCTAAACAGGTTTTGCAGCCAGTACAGTGAAAAGGAGGTCTGAAGGGATTTAGCATTTTCTACGTTATGGATTAGGGGCGAGATTCACTCTCCCTTTTCCTTTCTTTATCCCATGCTGCTATTCACGTGTTGCAAGCAGCTCGTTTACACTGTCATCTGAGCCTTGCATTTGTCTATCCACATTAACAGGAAATAAAAACGGGCACAACTCAGAAGTTCTGCAGAGAGGATCAGGGACCCTTCAGGACTAATAAATGACACAGGGCAGCAGCGACCGCTGCACAGCTGTGCTTGCACATGAGCTGCTGTGAGGTGTCCAGGCTTACTGCCCCAACCTCACCTGTGTGTTTCAAGGCCTCTTTCTGGTCATCCATCTGAGCATGACATGGGATTACTGAGCTGTGAAGCTGCCCTGTGTTTGTGGAGGAGATGTGGCACAGCTGGGGAGGGACAGGACAGAAGGAGCAGGAAATGAAGGAATTAAAAACAAAAGAGTTGAAAGATCAACTCATTTTCTTCTAATTTTGTAATTGTGTAATGAAACATCAGCACAAGCATACAGAGGCTTTTAGCAATGGAGCAGTCACGAGAATCCAGCAAGTCCAGCCCCACTGGAAAGGGCTGGAGATGAGTTCAGAGTTCTCTACAGTCAAAACACAAGCCAACCAGACCCACTCCTAATGTAAGCTCGTGCTTCTCTGGCCTGTGCCAGCAGACCCCTTCAGAGAGAAGGATGCTCAAAGGAACAGAACATATCGCCCTGCCACAAAGCTTGGTAGAGGTCCAAGAAAGCCCATTTACCTTTGAGAAAGAGACTGGGCTTGCAGGAAGGAGCAGCAAATCTCATGTGGATTCTCAGCGTTTCTCTCTCTCCCCTCTGACTTTGTAGGCAGAGGGCTGCGAAGGGAACCGATTCTCTCCTGCCTTCCCTCACAACCACAAGAAGATGACTCTTCACACATCCATCAAACTTCACGTCAATGAGAAGTTCCACCCTCGTCTCTCTCTCTACGAACAGATCCCAGTGCCTCAAAAGCACCTGCCCTACCTGCTTTCCCCCTCCTCTAAAGCATCACAGCAGTGAGGAGGAGGAGGAAGCAGAGAAAGGCAGCCCTCATAGACAACCTGTAAGGGACAAGAATAAGGATGGAGCAGGCGGCAAAAAGGCCTTCAGAAGGAATGGAAAATCAAGCAAGAGCAGCACTAGCGCAATTCTTAGGCTTCTCCTCTAAGAAAGCCTCCTGTGACTCACCGGAGGGGTGCCTGCTGCTGCCAAACCTCCCACTGCAGAGCTCATCCACTGCAGAATCTTCTCCTGCCCTCGTCTTGCTCAGCTCCCCCACCTCCCAGCTGGTGCTGGCTCCCTGCCCTGCTGCCAACCCTCCCACACCCCCATGGCCACCTCCTGCCTGTCGCTCTTCCCTCAGCATTCCCCCAAAGCAACCAGCAGCTCAGGGAGGTCCCCAAACCAGCATCTGGGCCGGGAGGGTCAAGGTATTACAAGAAGTCCTGAAAACCTCCAGAAGCTTCTCTGAGATGTTCCTACTGACCTCTCAAGGTTCACAAGGGACTGATGTACGTTACCAAGCTATGCCCTTTACCCCAGAGCAGAGAGTATTCCTGCAGAGCTCGGTGAAGCTCTGTAGGATAGGGCACTCGGTTTCATTATCGTACTTAGATTTTGCTTGTAAGACCCAGCTGCATTCTGGGTCACACTGTGGAAGGTGCTGAGCAAAACAAGAGAGGGTTTCTATCACAACTTGTTATTTGAAAGATCCAAAATACAGAGAAGCATACTGGCAGCATTCTACTCGTTTTAAAAGGTGATGAAAAACGTGCAGTTAAGGGGCTTGGGCTTGCCCAAGCTCACATACAACCTCTGTAGCCAGTCTAAGGTGGAAGATCCTCCCAGGTCCTCAATCTCAGCTCTTAATTCCCAAACCCCTGCCAAAACCATGCAGCCTGCCTTTAACAAAGTACTGGGGGGGTTGGTTGCTTCTTTTTTAGCAATAGGTTGGGTGAACATTTTATGCAATGCCTAAAATAGCATCTAATATGATCAGTGATGTAGATGAAGAGGAATAAGCCTGCTGAACAGAAATTGCACCACTCTGGTAAAAATAGTCCTGGAACAGGGAATTTTCTTTTTATGCTTTCTTGTTGTAGCACTTAGAATGGCACTGGGGATGGCTGCCTACTGGAGAGGCTGAGAGGAGACGGGCTTTTCTAGACTAAGTACTGCTGTTCTTCTGCAGTAGTAATAAACATTGGAGCATCTATTCTACCAGCCATTTGATGGAGAAACTTGCTTTTCTTCCCCTCCTCCCTTCCTCAAACAGGAAAAAAACAAAGAGAAGGACAGTAATTAATTCCAGAACAGCACATGCAGCATGCCACACCAGCTCCTTCACAGGAGTTCTATGGTGAGGAAGCTGGGGCTGGAGGCACGGTCTGCATCTCTATGGTTACTGGTACAGCAAGGAAGAAGGATGGGGAGGATATAGCAAAGGCTGAAGGAGCAGCTTTTGCAGCAGCAAGGGGCAAAGGATTTCAAAACAGGGTGAAAAGTGTCTGGATGTGGGGTTGAGTTTAATCTCCTTGTTTTTTTCCCCTCCAAGGACTAAGTATGCAAAAGAAGCCCCATTGTGCAGTCAGCTCCTCCAGAGTCTCTTCAGTTGGGATAATTTCTTCCCATTAGCCGTGCCCTCTGCCTTTGCACCACAACACATTCCATCACCTTCCTGGGACAACCTGGCCTTCCCCCCAGCCCAGAGACACGTCCTGGTGATGCTGCCCTCCCCAGCAGCCATGCAGAGGCCTGTTGTGCCTCATAGCGCAGCCAGCTGACACAACTGCAGCTCCTGTGTGGCATCACTACAGAAATGAGCCTCCGGAGCCCAGGCAACCTACGTCCACTCTTCCCCTTGCATCTCAGCTTATTTGTTTTTGAAATGTCAGATGGATATTTTCAGGCACAATCTCTCCTTTGTGAATCCAAACCGATTTCTCAACTAAATAACAGATTTGAAGAATACCTAGGAAGGGAGCCCTCATTTCCATTTCACTCCATGCCAGCACGTTGCTGAAATCACACTGAAGGGTGTGGGATATTCAAATCCTTCCAGGTCTGCTTTTTAGAAATGCCAGTGCTGCACAGAACCCTTTGAAGCGGTCATAAACACACTCCCAGGTTTTCATAGAAAATCTGTGGTTTTCAGTTAAGTGATCAATGACAGCAAAAGAATAAGAAAGCAAGAGTCGTGACAGATGCTGGTTAGCTCCCAGATCTTGTATGTAGATGCAGCATAATTACTAATAACTGCTGCAGTATCAAGTTTTGTATAGCTGCCTCCTAATAAGGCAGCAACAGCCAGATGGAGGGAACAGCCCTGACTCAGTGCTTGTTTGGCCCACTCAGGGGATGCCCGGTATCACTGGTGGCCCAGCAGAACTCCCTGGGCTCAAAGCCCATCCATGACAGAAAAGCAACCCGACCTTCAACATGGCAGAAGCAAACCTCAGTCTCAGAATCACAGAAACATCTGTGTGATCCCACTGGCAAAGCCAGAGAGTGCCTTACCACAGACACATCAGCCCAGAGACTTCCTCACTGCCCCTGGAAGCTGCTTTCAACTTCCAAGTGATTCCCCAGCTTGTGATATCACGAATAATCAACAGCACCAACACTGCTACATGAAGCAATGCCACTTCAGCATCGTGGCTTTCTGCAAAAGCAAGTTCTGGAGCTGTGCACGCATACACACACAGCCTATCTGGGGGCTGCAAGACAACTGCACAGTCAGCACTGTGTTACAAGGAGGCTCAGAGATCAAAGGTGCTACCACAAAGCTTCTGCCATACAGTCCAGAGCCGCTGCAGGTAGATAAATGCTGTCTACAAGAGAGTCATCATCACCATTTTAAACATGTCAGTGAAAGAGCAGAGTTTATTCTTCTTTTTTATTTTTGTCTTTAATTTCATTTCCCATAGAGAGATAAATGGCATGCATTGCCACGTAAAGCAGTATCTGCAGCATTACAGCTACATCGAGCTAGTAAGGGAAATCAGGTTTTCCAGGAAAGGTATTCACTCCTAAGAGAGAACAGTGGTACACAACGCAGTCAAAATGTAGATGCTAATTAATCTTTTGGTCCACCTAAAGATGCTGTTCTTCACATAGAGCCTCCCTCTGACACAGACAAGAAGTGGAGGCAACTACTGTGGCCTCAGTGCTGCAGGACACGAGTTGGGTGTTCCTGACTCCCCTGAGCACAGTGGGAGAAGGAGGCTTTGTCAGCTTCTCAGAAACCCCGTCCGAATGTAAACTAAGAGTCAAGGGTGTCAAAAAAGGGCAAAGGTAGACCGACAAGGTTAGAAACAATGCTGGTGGTGTTATAAGCTGGTCAACTGCTTTATGTCATTTCAGTTCTCCAAAACCCCAACTGCTACCTGGCTCTCCTCTCCACAGCTTCCTCCCAGCTCTCTTCTGAGCGCTGCTCCACTCTCACTCCAGATGTCTCCTCTTCAGTCCCATCACTGTTGCCCTCCTTTTCCCCATCCTTTCTGACACCTCCCTCGCAATCCCTGACTCTACAACAGGTGAAGGACACTGAAGTCAAAAGCCTGAACACCACGTGCTGCGTGACATCTGCAGAACACAGAGTTATTTACTCTGCTTGGCTGCGCTATTCATCCTCCAC